AAAAAAAAAAATTAGCTGGATGTGGTGGCACACCTCTGGTCCCAGCTACTCCAGAGGCTGAGATAGGAGCGTTGCTTGAGTCTGGGAGGTGGAGGTTGCAGTGAGCTGAGATCACACTACTGCACTCCAGCCTGGGCGACAGAGCAAGACCCTGTTCCAGAAAAAAGAAAAAGAAAATCTTGTGTTACATATCCATTATGCATTAGGATAGCTCTGTTGACCCTCAGGGACCGAGACAGATGCCCATCTTGTGATGCATCTCAACATGTGGTTTCCAAGGGTCACATCTATAGGGAAGAGAGAGTTCCAAGGAAGAGTGAAAATGGGATGTCAGTTTTTCCTGCAGTTCACTGGCCAAAATTAGTTGCATGACCCCAGTCTAAGTGAATACAAAATGTAGGAGGAGCACAAGGAATATTAATGAGCATTACTATTTCTTCAACACATGTTCTGTTTTTATTTTCTCCATACTAATCAGATTTTATTATATGATTTATATATTTTATATAACTTACACATATTTATATATCATTTGTGTGCTTTTGTGTTTACTATTTAGTGCCTCCTCTAGCAAGAATAGAAACTTATTCTCATACTGGCAGGGGAGATACCATGATCACGAAGGTGGTTTTCCCAGGGCGAGGCTTATCCATTGCACTCTGGATGTGCCGATCCCTGTGATTTCCCCAAATGTGGGAAACTCGACTGGGTAATTTGTGGTAGAAGGGGACTGCGTGTGTTCATGCTTTCCCCAGAAAAAAAAAAAAAAAAGAAACGAAACTCACTCTCCCAGAAAAGAATACAATTATTCTCCAAGGAATATTTAGAATATAAAATTAGTAAGACTTTATTATTGATTGAATACAATGGATAAGGAAAAAATTAAGGATAATTCATGTTTCTCATTTGGATTACATGGTTTTTGGTGTTTCCAAATGAAATAGGGAATATCAGAGGAGGAAGAAGTGTGGGTGATAGGAGTTTGGTTTGAGGTATAGTGGGTTTACCTCCATAGGGACCTCAAGGCGGAGATATGTGCAGAGTTGGAGATATGTGCAGAGTTGGATAT